AAACTTCACTTATAAGCATGATGTTTCTATTTCCAAAGGCTTGAATCCGAGAAGTAACTCATTTTGTCAGCACACTTCACATATAACAACTTTATCTATCTCTGTCAATAGCTTCCAAATAACCAAATAACCAAATAACCAAATAACCAAATAACCAAATAACCAAATAACGTGTAACCAAATTTTAACCCAATGAATTTCAAAGAAAGAAAGACCAAAAAAACAACACCCAACAACCCCCACCCCCACCCCTGAAATAATACATCCAAAAAGAGAGCGAAAAAATAGCGATGACGAAGATTTCTTTCTTTCTTTTCTTTTTTTAAAAATTCAATAAACCCAAAAGTATTCGATGACGACACAAAACAATATAAATGTAATAACACTTCCAACAAAACAATCTACAAAGCAGTATTAGATTAATCCCAGGGTACTCCAAGAGAGCAAACAGCTTTCTTTAATAATAACAATTTACACGATGACTCAACATACGCAGTCCGGCGTGAATACTTATCAAAGTTTGAAGCCGTCTCGACAAAATGAAAAAACGTGGTCTCAATTATTGCGCACCAGGTTAAATTCTATTTCTGCTTTGTTTTCATACATTGTGTGACATGTGGTGCGTTATTATGTTTGTTTTAGTAGACGTTTTACGGCGCTCGCAACTGCATAAGGTCATTATATTATTGTGAGAGCCAGAAGATTAGACGTGTTACAAGAGAGTAACAAACATAAAAAAGAAGAAGGGGAGAAAAGGACGATTGGAGTTTGATAGGAAAGAAGAAGCAAACCACACATGAGCACCCGCCAACCACCCACGAGGTGCTACTGCTGTTTTCTTAATTGTTATGTTGTTGTGAAGGAGAGAAAGTGAGAGAGAAGAGGAATGGGGTTCTAAAAACTGGTGGGGGGGGTGGAGGGGGTGAAAGGTAAAAGGAAAGGGGGTGGGGCGATGTTGTGAAAGGTTTTAAAAAGTAGGAGGAAGGGGATGTTGTGAAAGGTTTTAAAAAGTAGGAGGAAGGGGATGTTGTGAAAGGTTTTAAAAAGTAGGAGGAAGGGGATGTTGTGAA